TTTAGCTTTCTAAAAATGACTTATGAATGAAATAGAGTGAAATAGGATCTTCCTACTGAGTGCCTTCTTAAACATCTCCAACATAATTTTTATAATATGCTTGTGTCACACTCACCTACATTCTTTTTTTTTTGAAGGAGAATTTTTATTATTTTTACATACAGAATACTCAACAGTGTACATTTAGAACAGTTTAGTGGCAAGTTGTTTAGCCTTTGCCTTTTCCAGCTTGGCAATGTGAGCCACAGATTTTGGACCCAGGACGTTGTCTCCCCAGTGAGGATGGATCTCATCATATCTGTCATTGTAATTGGTCCTGATAGTTTCCACCAGCTTAGCCAGAGCTCCTTTGTCTTCCAAGTTAACCTGCGTGAAGGCAACAGTGGTGCAGGTCTTCCTGTGGACTAGACGCCCCAGCCTGGCCTTCCCCTTGATAATGCAGTAAGGGACCCCCCATCTTCTGACACAGAGCAGGCAGGAAGGCAACCAGCTCAGTGGGATCCACGCCATGTGCAATCACCACCAGCTGAGCCTTCTTGTTCTCTACCAAGGAGGTGACAGTGTTAACCCCTGCTCGAAGGACAGGTCATCTCTTAGTGGGGACATCCCCTTTGCTGGCAGCTTTCTTCTCAGCCTGGGCCAACAGTTGCTGCTGCTTCTCTTGCGTTGTCTCCGGTCTATACTCGTGGCCAGCATAAGCAGCTGAGTAGCCGTTTGGCGGTCCAAGGCCTAGGTGAACTGGTTAATCGCAGGAGGCACTTTGAGTTGCTTATAGAGGATAGCTCTTTGCCATTGCACCCAGATGTAGTGGGGCCATTTGACAAAGCAGGTGAGGTCCCTTTTGGGCCGGATGTCCTGTCCAATGCCAGAGTTCTTCAGCCTTTTCTCAAACAGGGATTCACTACCTTCTTGGCCTCCTGCTTCTTCACGACGGCAGGAGCCGGAGCCACCTTCTTCCCCTTGGCCACCTTTCATTTCAGCATCTTGGGTGGCTGGAGCCTACATTCTTAAAAAAGTCCTTATTTTGTGGATTTTTTTAAAACTACCGTGTTTAGTAAATTGTGGGTGCTTTTTCAGTCTCTTTACTGTGTTTATTTTGAGTGAGGAAAGCAGTTATAGAATTTAAGATACATCTTGTTAAAATATAACACTCACTTTTAAAACTGTAGAAGTGAATGTAATATTCAACAAAATACC